AGAAAAAAGAAGAGGGGGGGGGGGGGGGGGGGGGGGGGGGGGGGAAACATCATCACGCTGCCGGCGCTGGTGGCTGTGCATCTCTTAGGCCGGCTATGTGCTCCGTGTTGAAGTAAATGACGGTAATGGTTATATCATCGCGATACAGACGCACCACATCCTTGGGCAGCGACAGGTAGTACGAGATCTTTGAGTGCTCAATCCCATAATCGGTGGCACCCAGCGCATGACGAATCAAATGTGTGGCAGCATTCTGATCAATTGGTTTACGTGTGAGACCAGCTCTGCAGGGGGAAAAAAGTTTTAGCTTGAGCTGCAACCGCCGGAATGGATGAGCGAAACTCACTTGCGTTCGGCCAGCTGATCAGAGATTTGCTGTAGCGTGGGATTACCCTCTGGCAGTCGCATCGGCTCTAGTATCTTCTTCGAGTTGATGTGCTCACCCACGAGGCTGACGACCTCGCTGGGCGAGAGGAAATCCCACAGGCCATCGCTGGCTATGACTAGAAACTTATCGTTGATGCTCAGCTCGTGCTGTTGCACATCGGGCCGGGCGGTCAGGTACGGCGGCGTATAATAGTTGGGTGCCATCGCCTGCTCCCCGATCAGGGGCACCACCTTCTTCTGCATTATGTCGAGGGACCATTTGTAGCGATAATCGCCAAAGGCGCGCAACGGCGCCAATTGGCTGAGCAGTCGGCCATTGCGTATGGCCGTCTCGTGCTCCTCCTTGGGATGCTCGTCGAGTATGCGCTTCACCTCGGCCATGTTGTCCACATTGTGCTCGACGTTGAGTTTCTTTGGATGCCACTGATTCGTCTGCGGATCGAGAACACCCAGAACGGCGCCACAGTCCCCAGTGCTGGCCACATGCAGTTGCAGACCCTCCAAATGCACCAGACACGCCACGGCACCTACAAAATATCCATAGATAAAAGTTAAGCAACATTTTTAGGAGCAAGCCTCTTACCCGACAGCGCTACACCCATGGTACGCACATCGATGGTGGCCAGCGCCTCGTGTGACAGTGCCTCGTCCAGCTGGAGAAAGGCATGCACCAGTTCGCTGCTCACGTCGCGCTGCGGTGTCTGGGTCAGCTGCTTTATGTACTTCTGGAAGCTGTGCTCGTAGATCGGCTTGATTTCGTTGACAAAGTCAACGTTGTCGTTGTGGCACTTGAGGAAGGACTGGCTGTTGCAGTTCTGCTTCATTTGCTCCCGCAGCACCTGGCGCGGCAGTGTGGCCGCCGATACATAGCGCAGGAGACGCTTGGACACCACCTGGCCACAGGCGGCACCGCCATGCCCATCGAATATGCCACAAATGAAGCCATTTCTGTGCAGCAAGCTGGCCTCGGTGCGTGAATCCTCGCAGGGGGAATTGGAGCCAAGCTGATTCGTCTCGTAACTCCGCACAATCCCATCCACCGGGAAGTTGTACACAAATTCGTTCTCCCGCAGCTGAAGATTCACCTGCGAAAAATGAAAACAAAGTACAAATCACATACACATACAGATACAGTTACAGAATATTTGCGGGATAGCGACTTACATCGTAGGGACTCAGCTGTGGCAGGTGCGGCAGGAGGCGTAGAGCGTTAAGGCTGAACTCTCGCACATTGCTGCGCACACAGGTAGCGGCGTCGTTTAGCACAAACTTTAACATCTATGTAGGTGAGTGTAGGCACATATATATATATGTATATGTACTCTGTAGGTGCGTGTGTATATATTCTTAAATATACATAAACTCTGCTCTGCTGCAGCTATAATTAACGGTAATAATATTGTTCGGTAACCTTGCGCAGCGCACACAACATACACGTTGCGTGTGTGTGTGTTTAATGAGGGGACGGAGACTGAGAAGGAGACGGATACGGAGTACGTAGCCCTGCCCGTAACCGGCAGCACGCTTTTTGCTTAATCGCTGGCTACCTTCTTGGCGGGCCTCCCGTATATTCTTTGCAGGCTCTTGAGTTGTTTCGGTACTACTGCTGCCGCTTCCCTGTTACTCGAATTGTACATTTGTTTTGCCGGAACTGAGAAATTTGACAAAAAAACAAACGAAAAATTTAATATAAATCGAACTGTCAGTATGTCCAGTGGGACCGCGGATTAATCGATCAAAAATACCACACGACCCTTAAAAATATACCAAAAAATACCGTAACTCGAGTTTGGTGTTCCATTTTATAAAACTACTAATAAGGATTCTCAGAGCTAAAACTAAAACCTATCAGTGGTGCTTCACAGCACGTGTTTCAATCAATAATTTCAGCTAGATGAATTCATTAACAGAACATGCAAGATATTAGGCATATGAGATAATACATTTATTTATTGGGTTATTTGTATTGCGCTTAACAGCACATTTGTAATTGCTGTCGACGCTCTGGCAACGCTTGCTTTTATCACTCACTCACGCACACAATCACAGTGTTTGTTAGAAAAAACAAAACAAAGTCACGGCAGCTGAATATTTCGTGGTATATTTATAATTGGCGTTTAACCCGAGCAGCAAACGAAACGTTAATAAGCTATAAATAAAACAAGTGTGCAGCAGCAGCCGTGCAGTAATCCAGTTCCGGTGCGAGGCATGGGCTGGCCCCACCACTGACCAAAACGAACAACAAGAGGACAAGGACGACAACATAATCTGCGTCTTAGCCGAAGATTAGAACTAGAAATCAACAAAGGGCCGCCGTTGCACACACAGTCAATATGGTCGAGCCCATTTTCGAGTATCAATTCCGCCTGATACTCATCGGCGACAGCACAGTGGGCAAGAGTTCGCTGCTCAAATTCTTTACAGATGGAAAATTTGCCGAGGTTTGTATTCCCCACCCCAACGAGTGATAGCAGGTTGCGCGTGTGTGTTTGTGTGTGTGTGTGTGCGTGCGTGCGTATGTGTGTCAAGTGCGATCGCCTAACAGATGCATTTAATGCGTTTTCTTACATAATTCAATGATTAATGCACAAAGAAAATAAAACAAAGGCCTGATTCTCAGCCTTAGATGCTGTCCCATATGTGCGTGTGGGTGTGTGCGTGCTCGCCTGATAATGAAAGGAAAAACAAGGCTGCACCAGAGACTAGTGCTGCCATATCATTCGCAACAGTTTGCCCGCGCAATTTAAATGTAATGTCTCAACCTTTTACCATTTCAGCTCTCGGATCCGACAGTGGGCGTGGACTTCTTTGCCCGCCTCATCGAGATGAAGGATGGGACACAAATCAAACTACAGCTGTGGGACACGGCCGGCCAGGAGCGTTTCCGCTCCATCACAAAATCCTATTATCGCAATTCAGTCGGCGTTCTGCTCGTCTATGATATCTCGAATCATGCCAGCTTCGAGCATATACCACTGTGGATGATGGAGGCGCAGCGTCACATCGAGCCGCACCGACCCGTCTTCGCGCTGGTTGGCTGCAAGCTGGACCTCATCAATGCGGGCGGCCACCGCGAAGTGTCCACGGAGGAGGCGCAGACGTTTGCCAAACAGCATGGCCTGCATTTCGTAGAGACTTCCGCGCGCACCGGTGCCAATGTGGAGGAGGCCTTCCGCATGGTCACCCAGGAGGTGTACGCACGCATTCGATCCGGCGAGTACAAGGCGGAGGATGGCTGGGATGGCATCAAGGCCGGCTTCGCGACGCCCAACAGTCTCGACTTTAATCTCGTTGTGGCCGAGCCGGAGAAGTCCTCCTGTTGTTGATTCGTTTGTTTGCCTTGGGTTTGGGTCCCCTCCCCCCTTTTCATTGTTTTTTTTATTTGTCCAAACAGCGATAGAGGTTTATTTTTTGTTTATTTCCTGCATAGTTTATTGTAAATTTAGTTTTTTCCCTTTTTTTTTTGTCAAAATCTTCTGTGTGTGGTCCACCCTAGGCACATCTTAAAGTCGTATCTAATTTAGCTGAGAAACCAAATCATTAATGCAAAAACTATTTTTAGTTTCGTTTGTAAGCAAACCACACTCCCTGCACCGGCCCAGGGACTGGTAAAGCCCAGTAACATACATAAATATTGGATCCAAGTCATTCGGGAAGGGTCTGTTAACCGAAAGACAAGAAATGGGCTCCATATACACGAAATACGAAAAAGAAAATCTATACATAATACTTGAACTTGAAATATAAACGTTTTTATTAATACAAATAAAGGAAAGTAATGTTTTATAATATAAGGACGAAGAAGGAAATGATTTCAAATAAAGGCGCGTATTTCCGTGCTCATATTTGACACCCAGAAATGAGTCTGTACAGTGTTCAATATATCGATATTTTGCAAGGTCATCAGATACACAATTAATCCATAATCCAATTAATATGAGTATTTATAATAAGCCAAAGTGATAATTCAATCGGATTTAATTATTGTTTCAGTGTTAAAAGACAATGCAAAGATAGTAATATCAAGTAGAACATCAAATGCCAGGAATATGATTTAACATTACGGTATATTTTGAAAATGAGAAGCTATACTTTGGTATATTGTCGAGGGTCTGACCGTATATTCCATTGATAAATTCGCGGTCACACTGCTCAGAGACATATCGCGCGTGCTGCTTAAAAAAATTGTTAACAATTTTTGTGCACTAAGAAATAAGAACAAAAAATGGGCAACGTGCTAGCGGCATCCTCTGGCAACAGCAGCAGTGTGGCTGCCGGTCTGAGTCTTCCAGAGCCGGTGGTTGCACCTACAAACACATCGCCATCGAGCGCCGCCAGTGACACTGCCGGGAATGATATTTTACTGGAGAATCCTGGCACCGTTGATGAGTTGCACAAAAAATGCAAAGGTAAGTGAATCCCATTGAAGCGACCACATTATGTGCGCATTTTCATAGACCAAAGTCGAGGCGGTTGGAAAAAAACCTCAGCTGTCTGATGACATAACCTACAACATGTGAGCGGGGGCCGCAGTGCGTGCGAGTGTGTGTGTGCGTGCGTGTATGTGTGTGCTGTTGTCTTTGATTATGCATTATCAGGCCATTGTTCATTCAACTATCCTATTCTCTTCCCCTCTCTCCTGCCTTACCGACAGATATACAGGCCGTCACCTTCGAGGGAGCCAAAATTATGCTGAACAAGGGCCTCAGCAATCACTTCCAGGTCTCGCACACCATCAACATGAGCAGCACGGTGCCGAGCGGCTACCGCTTTGGGGCCACGTACGTTGGCACCAAGCAGTTCAGCCCCACCGAGGCATTCCCAGTTCTCTTGGGCGACATTGATCCATCCGGCAATCTGAATGCCAATGTCATTCATCAGTTCTCGCCGCGCGTACGCTGCAAGTTCGCCTCGCAGGTAAGTCTTCAGCAGAGTTCAATGCGCTAGCAGCAGTGTCTAATGCTTTTGGAATCTTACAGGTCCAGGACTCGAAGATGGTGGCCTCACAGCTGACAACTGATTATCGTGGCGACGACTTCACGGGATCGCTCACCATGGCCAATCCGAATATTTTCACCAACTCTGGCGTAATCGTTGGCCAGTACTTGCAGTCAGTTACTCCGGCCATTGCCCTGGGCACCGAGATAGCCTATCAGTATGGGCCGAATGTGCCCGGGCGACAGATTGCCCTTGTCTCTGGCATGGGCCGCTACACGAGCGGCAACACGACGTGGTCCGGCACTCTGGGCCTGAGTGGATTGCATCTGTGCTTCTACCAGAAAGCCAGCGAGCAGCTGCAGATTGGTGCCGAGGTCGAGACCAGCCTGCGCATGCAAGAGTCAGTCGCCACTGTGGCCTACCAAATTGATTTGCCCAAGGCTGATTTGGTCTTCCGAGGTGAGTCTTACATCTGGCAGAAGCTATTCTGGAGACTGGAGAGCATAAAATAATGCATTTGATTGGTGCATTTCCTTGCAGGCTCTATTGACACGAACTGGCACGTTTCGGGAGTGCTGGAGAAGCGTTTGCAGCCGTTGCCATTCACGCTTTTACTCAGCGGTCGCATGAATCATGTGAAGAACAACTTCAGACTGGGCTGTGGGCTGATGATCGGTTAACCGGTAGCTGCATAACCCACAATTTTAGCCACAGACCCCGCCCCCAGACAACATTCACATTCACACATCCAATCAATTTGAGCACATCATTTGCCCACACAGCACCACCGTCACCAACAGCACCACAAAACAGACAATTCTTTTGGTTCATTCGAAAATGTTAATTGCGGCAACAGGAGGAGGACTTGTCGCCGCCAACTTCGTCGTTTGCTTCGTTTTGTTGAAAAGAGTTGGTTATTAGTTTCAGTTAGCTATCTAGGAATAGTCCACATTTCCAGACAACATTTTAAAGCACGCATCCAACCAAGAATGGTCGCTGTACATTTTAAGTTGCTTCCTAGAAGATGAAAGAAAAAAAAGGAGAAGAAACGTACGCATTTATTTTGATAAAAAGCAAACCAAGAACAACAACTAAACCACAAAAACAACACAAACAACACATAAACACAGAACATCAGAAGTTTTTTTCTTCAAAAGTTAATAATAAATGCGTATTAAATGTATGTTACATTGTAAAATTGGTAACGAAACTGCTTTAAGTTTATAATTTATAAATTAACAATTAGTTATAAATAACAAAAACAAAAACTTTGTTAAACCAACATTTACCTTCGTGGCGCGCCTAAACAGAGACAGAGTCGGAGACGCAGAGAAAGAGACAGAGACAGACAGAGAGCAGGAAGTAGAGTGTTCGGATAGAAAGAGACAAAACGTTAGCGCCAAAACGTTGTGAGGGAAAAGAGAAAAAACCAAACCAGAAAATCAGAAATAAAAAAAACTCTACAAAAGAAATTGCCCATTGCTAGATTTGTTAAAGATGGGGACTAATGGTGGTCCAGTTACATTGTAATAGAGCCGCTTCCCAAGCAAGAAAGTAAAGTGAGATGATGCCCAACAAAAAACAACAAGAGAATGAACTATCAACAACAAACCAGATGATACAAAACAAAATAGGTTTTAGTAAAAACAAAAAATAAACAATTTAAATAAACTTTTGGTGTTTGGCTTTTAGTTGGTGTAAGAGTAAGCGCTGCCCAAAGCTCACATCAAAGTAAATCAAAGTTCAGTAACGGTACTCGGATGTTAGTAGCAATTGAGACGAGCCGCATCATTACATCATCAACGTGCAACATGTGTAGGACAGAAATGGGAAAAGCATTGGCCAGCAAGCAGTAAAGTAATGCGGAGACTACAGCGGATGCTGTAGTTGATTCGACTGCTGCAGCTTTTCCACGTGATGCTGCAAGAAGATTGGATTGCCTTTTGATTAAAATATAAATTATATTTTCAAAAAATATTTGATTTATTTGGTTTAAGACTATTTTTAAGAGGATCCAAGCAATGAAGAGGCTCTTCAACCATGCGATGGATATTTTTATTTGCAGGTAAGTTGGATTTCACATCGATTTTCATTAAGTTTGATGTTGGCAAAGGCCTCTTTTGGGTCCCGAAGTTGACAAACTGCATTTATGAATGCTGCTAAAACTGTAAAACTGTTCATAGTGCTTGTACAACTGCCTCAAACTGTAGTATTTTTGTGTGTGTTTCAAAGATCTCAAAGTGAATCAGTAATCAAAAAATAGAAAATGCTAGCAGCTGCTGCTCCAACTGTACAGTTTAAGCACAACTATTATTCCTGAATAAACCTTAATTTGGGCCATTTTGGCATAGCCTTTAAGACTTTTCCCCACAAACTTGACCAACATTTTGTCTACATTTTGCATCCATGGAGTCATTGGCAGCACATGTTGTGCACAAAAACAGCAGCAACAACCACAAAAAGTAAATTGTGTTGCCATATTCTCATTTGCAGGGCAAAAGTCGCAAAGTGTGCGAACAACTATAGGGAAGTCAGGTGGGACTCGCAGCGACTAGTTGATGCCCAGCCCATTGGACTTTATCTCTGCATGCCCTCATGCTGTTGCTGCGTTGACCTACCCTTGGATACCCTGTAAGTAGATATGACAAAAAACTCCAACGACAAAATGTATGCAAGCAAACTTTGTTCAATCAGCCAGAGGAGCTTGGATGTTGTTGCAGTCGCTTTGCAAGTGCAGCAGTCGCAATATTGTTTAGATAAGAAAATGTTGCCTGCCCCACACATTGAGGCTGTATGTGTGTGTGTGTGCTCTTCCTGTCTGCCCCGCTCTGTCTATCAAATGCTTTTTGCTTTTCCACATTTTCTTTTCGGTCTTTGCTTTTTTCCTCGCTCTCTCCCTCTCTCTTGGCGGTGCGCTCCACCAAATGCAATTTGAACTTTGGCAAAAAGCGGCCGCTTTGCCATACACCAAGCCCTGCCCTGCCAAACCATTTCAGCGATAAGCAGGACAGCGACTTTCATACTTGTATTTTGTGAAATTTTCAGCATTTCCTCTGCTTCTTGTTTCCCGGACTCTTACGAGTCTCTCTTCCTCGGTGTGAGTGTGCATTATGTAACCCGCGAAAGCTGTTTTCCAATTCAATTGGTCCAAGCAGAAGGAGCAGCTGCAGAAGGAGGCACTTCACTCATGGCCAAGACAAAGGAAATCTGTGTCAGACGCAGCGGCAGAAAAACTCATTAACATATAAAGTAGCCACCACAATCTCGGCGAAAATCGGGTAACTAATTAAAGAAAATAAAAAGAAATCTAAAAAAAATGTATACTTATCTTCAGATACTCTTGCATATTAGTCACTGATTTGTTGTACAGTTTATAGACTTAGACTATATAAAATGTGCCGCGAAACTGAATTTTAATATAATTTTGTATCATTTGTATGGACCAAAAAATAATATGAAACTTCTATTCTAATTTTAGCAACAACATTTCAGTTTCCACCCATTTTAGTTCGCTAGATGCTTCGATTAAACGCGTCGCACGCGTAATGCGGCAGCGCCCATCGGTCCGATTGCGTTTCTGCCTCGAAACTGGCTTCAGCCAAGCCATTCAATGTGCCACTTGATGCTGCAAATATATGTATCCACTTTTGGCGGCTATATCCCGCGTGATATACGATTGGTGGGGTTTTAAAATCAAAAAGAAATATTTTATAGTTATTACCCTCCAGTGTTTGGCTAAAAGCGATGTACCCTTATGTAAGTGCATCAACAGCAATCTGTAGTTCTGTG